GATGTGGCTGAAATATGTTGTTTGGGTGGTTTAATACCCCCCAAACCCTTTCCCCCAATTTCAACCGTCAAAATGACCTTATTGCCCCTGCCCAAGGAGTATAGTTTTGAAAAAAATGGCAGACAGATAATGAGGCCTGATGCGGTCGATGCAGCTCTGATGTGGGCGCAACTTTCTAAACCGCATATGTGAGAAGTGCGATGCGCTGGGTGGCGCATAGCACCTAATGCGACCGCATTTTAAAACACTGTGTAGGCCAACGGCCCAAACAAGTTATATTGGAGCAAAGTTTATTTATCTTTAGGAAAATTCATCAAATCACAACTAAGTGTTGAACTATTTAGCATCCCATCCATGTCTTTTAATCTATTTTCAAATAGCCTATCGTTCTTTTACAAATTTCAAATACCATATCAAATGTGTTTTGAAAGTTATCAAATCACACCTATGGTGCAATGTTAAATAGTTCAATTTTTTAGGTATATTAAATAATTTTTTCCCTTTTTTTAACCAGTGGCATCTTGAGAGGAGTGATTCATCCATTTCTAAAGGAATGCTTCTTTTATAGCAGTGAATACCATGGAACTTAACTTTGACATGGAGATATTCATCGTCAAAAGTTATGACCCCTGCCCCCTCTTGCACACCCTTGTCTCTCTCCTCCTCAACAACTTCAGCCAATTGCCATCCCCTTCAACCTAAGCTTCTAAACCTAGCCGTGTCATATTCCCATCCACCAACAACTACAAAATCAGCATCCCTATTCACTCCCATAAACCCTAATCATTCCAAATAGCCCATATTTGAACCCTGAAACCCTTATCATAACTTATGCTGCCCATCGAACCAAAATCATGTTCCCAAACCCTATCACTAGTTTCTTTTTTTTGGGTAAGTAAAAGAAGTGGTAAGTCAGTGGGGATTTGGGCCTCTACCCTTTGGTGAGAATGGAGTTGGAGTTAGAGACCTGATCATGGGGCTGGGCAATAAACTAGCCCTAGTTATTCCCTCAACCATAGTTCACAACCTCATAATCTAAACCCATCAAACATTAATGCCACTTGTGTAGGATAAACCCCATTTGTCCTACATCAACACGTGAACACTTGCATGGTAATAAAGGCCACCCAAGATGCAACGGCTGATCAAAACTAACTAGTATTCATAGAGGCCTCATGATTATTTCTCACTTTTTGCAATGTAATTTACTATATGCAAGTTTTCTAGGGACTTGGGAAATGAATGCATATAAACAAACATCATTACAGTTCAAATCATTTACTTAAGAAATGCAACGCGTTTTTTCTTGATGCTGACAAAAGGAGAGAGCACCCATCAAGTTGTTCTGTAAGACTGTATCTATAGACAAACAATGATGCATTCAAAGAATGGTAAACAATTTGGGCTCAGATAACTGTCAATGTCTCTCTTTACCCTAGAGCGAGCCAAGGAACCAGCAAGACCATTAGTGCTCAAAGGATTGCAACCTAGATAATGGACTAAACTGACGAGCATGGGAAAACCCATCAAACAATAATCAGGGTAAGAATGAAGGAAAAGATAGAGCCCGCAAACAGACTGGACAAAGAGCTAGTCAGCCATCACCCTGGTAGCTCTATGTATGAGGCATGTTTAGGGAACTGGAACCACCTGTATTAGAGGTGACCTGTGACCTCTAGGGTCTGTATCTAAGACAGCCAAGCCAACTGAAGCATAACACCCACAGAGGAGGAGATGTCCCAGACCATGAGTTTTATCCAAGACAGCAAGCCAACTGAAGCATAGCACCCTCAGTGGAGAGCATGTCCCAGACCATGCAAGCAATTAGGGGGGGTGAAACAACACATTCGGGGGGAGAATTTCGGTGAAACCTTCAGGGAGATAAACAGTATTTCATCAAATCACATGGCATACATGTACTGATTTCCGACCCTTTTCATTATAGAAAATCAGTATGCAGATTGAAATGCGACGAAAAACAAAGATGAAATAATGAGATGTGGGGAAGTTGAAATAATTGGACGTGAAGAACCCAATACAAAGTATAATTTCCAATTTCCTAATAATTTTCATCTCCTTAAGTGCAAAATTTTATGAAGTATTTTACTTTCATTTTCTGCCTACTTCATTAGTACTTTTCATTTTCTACTTACCAGTAGTTTCCAGTTTTATCCATTTTTGTAGTTTGTATAAGATTTTTGGGAGGGTTTGTTCTCTAATTCCATTTTGTGCACCCAATGCTAACCATCCATTATCCTTCTCTCAAAGTAACATCAAACTTCAAAACACTACTATATAATTTTCAATGCAAAAGATAATATAGCACAATAATATAGCATATGACAATCAGGAGAAGAAGCTCAAGCCAATCCATACAGAGATATCGGCATGGGAAAATGACTATAGGCATGCATTTCCAGAGCAAAATATGCTCATGGTAATGACGAATCAGAATACAGAAGGGGCGAGAATCTACAATGACTTTATCATTCCTTTAATGAACCGATAAGACCCTGATTCAATCAAATGTACAACTTCATCAAACGAGGCAAAAGCTGAAAGAAAGATTTCTCTTTAGGATTATAGTCGAGTATAGGGCTAGGCAGTGTTCAAAAAGCAAACCGCCCAGCGCCTAGGCAGTCCAGAAGGCCTGGGCGCATTGCCCAGGCCTAGGCGGCCAAACTGGGCTGCAATCCCTGGGCGGTGTATTGATTTTTTTTTAAAACATAAAGGGTTTAAGGATGGGTTTTAGGTTCATTTGAAACTTAAACCCACAAGAACCCATTTTAGAGAGAAAGAAACCTCAAGAAAACTAAATTTTGTGACTTTTATTGGATCGAAGTATTTCTTAAAGTTACGGAAAACGGATCCAAACATCACGCAGGTAGATTTGATTTAGTTTTGGAGTTTTACAATACTATTAGAGGGCATTTAGCAGCAGAAAACATCTCAAAGGTAGGAGTTTGGAATTCGAGAAATCAAGGTAAGTACAAAAATTTAATTTTTAGATTGCTTATTTTATTTTAAGATGTCTTCTTTAGTATCTAGTAGAAGTGGAGATCTGGGTTGGAAATATGGATATAACCCGAATCCAAATGACAAAAATTAGATGCAATTTTTGTGAAAAAGATACGACATGGGGCATAAACCGGTTTAAGAAACATCTTGGTGGTATTAAGGGGGATGTTGTTCGTTGTAAAAATGTTCCTGAAGCTATCAGAGAGGAGATTAAGTAATATATGAGTTCTAGCAAACAAAAACAGGAACAAAATTCTTGTCATTTGAATAGGTCTACTTCTAGAAGAAGTGATTTGGGTTGGAAGTACGGTTATAACCCAAAACCAAACGATAAAAATTTTATAAGGTGTAATTTTTTTGAAAAAGATACTAATAGGGGTATTAACTGATTTAAGAAACATCTTGCCGGTATTAAAAGGAATGTTGCTTCTTGTAAAAAAGTTCATGAAGCTATTCGGGATGAGATTAGACAACTTCTAAATTTAAAAGAACCAGAAAATAATGAAAATGAGTTTTGTTCTATGGAAATATCTTCTCCAGGGTTCTTCTAGAAGTGGTGATCCGGGTTGGAAGTATGGTTATAACCTGAATCCGAATGACAAAAATTGTATTAAATGTAACTATTGTGGAAAGAATACTAATGAAGGCATTTACCGGTTTAAAAAAACAGATGTTGCCCAGTGTAAAAATATTCCTGAGGCTACCAAGGAGGAAATTATAAAATATTTAAGTTCAGGGAAGCACAAAAAGATAGAAAAATGTAGAGCAGCCAAGACGCCTAAGGCCTCATCTGCACATACTAGTAAGAGGGAGGTAGAAGAAGAGGAGGAAGAAGAGGCAGATTCAAAAGAAACAGAGGAGGATGAGTGTTATATTGAAGAGGGAGATGACTATGATGATGATGGCCTCGATTCTTATGCATACAATGAAGCTTACCCTATTCTTTCTGATGATGATGATTGAAGAGACTCTTGTTGTTGAGTGTTGACTGTTGTATTGACTATTGAGTGTTGACTATTATGTCCTAGATGACTATTGAGTGTTTTACTATTTTAGCATTGTATAAAAATATAGATTATGGTCTTATGGATTATCAAAATTCTCTTCTCGACTTCTATCTTTTTTTTTTAATAGGGCTTATGGTCTTATGGATTATCAAAATTCTTATGGATTATGGTCATATGGATTATCAAAATTCTTATAGATTAATCATTATCAATCATCACTCATCAGTTTTGTTTTTTTCAACCGGGCTGCCAAGGTTCTGGGCGCCCGCCTGGGAGCTGGGGGGTCTGGACCCCATGGCCGCCTGGGTGCCGCCTAGCACTTTTTGAAACACTGAGGCTAGGATGTTTCACCGCTTAATTCCCAGACGTGACTATAAAGCAACAATAAAGGAATCAGGAATATGCCAGGTTCAATTTCCACTTAAGGGGTGCAGCAAGCCAAGGAAATGGAAAGTCAAAATGGGGAAGGTTGCCATGACAAAGGGGGCAGTGACCAACTTTTAGAGCAGGGAGAACTCAATTCTTACAGATATTAAGCTATATCCTTTTATCGACTTCATTATCCGAAATGTGGAAGCAAATATCATTGAACCACATCAAATCCTATATGATTTCAATTTATGCTTGCACATGCATTCCCCGTTAACTCTACACGATTTCAGTTAATGCCTGTGCATGTATAAAACAACCCCACTAAACATCAGGCTTAAAAAATATTAGTGCAAAAAAATTACAGGTTTCAAAGTAATTGTATATTTATTTTGCTAGACACATAATAAAACAGTATCAAGTACATGGGCAGTCACTATAAGCAAGTGGATGAATAAGAAGTGGAAATGAAGCGACTCTAACAGGCTTCTGAGAATCATGTCCATCCAAACTCATCCACTTCAACAGATTGCAATCCCTAGGCCAAGTCTATGGGGCAGCTTCCGGTTTACAACTTTTATTCAAATGTAAAGACAAATTACTAACCTGGCCAAGTGACCCCATATTTAGTATATTCTGAAACTGCTCATACATGATTCTTAAAGTGAAGGTCCCCTCAGAGAGCTTCTGTAAAAGTTCAGGTTGCTGATCCGTAGGCACAACTTCATGAATTTTCTCCATAAATCCTGACCAATCCCCCATGCCTGGCAGAAAGGAGATCAGATGTGAAATATAGCTGCAAATGTACTAAGTTTGCAAATTAAAAACAATTCTGGTGGAAAATAGAAATAAGCATATGAAAGCAGCAAAACTACAAAAATAATCATACCCAAAAGGCGACTAACAAAGGGTTTAACATCAAAAACTTCAAACTCATCCATGTGTTCACCAGTTCCGATGAATGTAATTGGACTCTTTGTGGCTGCCACTCTGTACAAAGAAATGCAATTAGCATTATGACTGAGAGCATCATCTGGGACAGCAAAATTCTCCACATGTTGAAAAACAAACTGACTAAACCAGAACAATTTGAATGATGATGCCCCAGTTGTGTGCACATCCACTGCATAAATCATGTATGCCAGAGAGAACAGGGAAGTATGAAAGTACCATCACACGACATCAAAATATAAAACGGAAGCATGAAATCTGTGTATCTGATTAGATCGTGTAGGACGAATGGAAATGCCAACTAAATGGGGCAATTACTGTTGATTCGAGATTTAACATCCCCCAAAAAAAAAAAGAATACTTCAAGTGAAAAAGAAAACATCTCTACACATAAAAAGAAGATCATAAAAATTTCTATGCAAAAGAAGTACCTGCAGTTATTTCTTTTGATGGCTAAGATGAATACAAAGAGCCCAACCCCAATGTGGTTCAGATGAAAAGAACTCGAAACACATACTACACGAATATAAATCGTAATCAAGAATCTGTATTGGCATGTGCGTGCATGTGTGAACTTGTGTCAAACCAAAATGAATGACGAACCATTTCGCATAATGAATTTGACATGTAGCTCATCTGCATATGAGGAAGGAAGCCTTCATCCACAATGTCATAAAACTGGCTTAATAGAACATTACTAGAATTCAATTTAAGAACCAGGATTGAATTATCTAGACAAGTTGCATCCTTCAATGTTATAAATTCATTCCTGCATGACATAGGTGATTGCACACAATGAACAATGGCCTGTACTAGGAAAGGAAAGGATGCAAGCACACTCTTTCTTGGTCCATGGAAATTTTCCATCTGAATCCAGTTTCGAAATAGCCTAATTCATTTTAAGACACAGTAGAAGTATTTAAACAGTGCATGATTTGATACTGAATTTTTCCATATCACAAAATGCAACTGGGAAGATGCAGCTGACTATAATCTTGTAAAAACTAGTACAAAAAGGCCAACTCTGATCAAAGACATATTATGATAAATTAAGCTGATATCCTGATTAGCATAAGAAAGGAAGCATAGAGGCACACAAAGGTCACAACACTTACGCACTAAGAGCTCCACCTCCTTTAGCATGACCATCCATTTTGGTAACAATTACAGCCCCAACTGGAACATTCTGCCTAAAGGCTTGGGCTTGATCAAATGCAGCTTGACCTATACTGCTGTCCATCACAAATATCACAAGATCTGGTTTCTGGCATGCCAAATGTAGTAGTTAAAAGGGACATATTAAAAATTATTCTGCAAACACACGTACAACTCATAAGACTCGAGAGAATAAAAGACATACCGTAGCTTCTGACACTTGGCGCATTTCTTCAAACAGCGCGGCTTCCTGCTTATGGCGTCCACTGGTGTCTATGATAAGAAGATCACAGTTCTCTTTCTTAAACGTGTCTACACCTTCTACTGCAATTTTTACAGGATCGGACTCCATATAGCTGTACAAAATCACACAATAATATCAGAATATGCAAGTGAAGAAAATAGAAAAACATAATGTAAGAATTTGATTTAACAAAATAGTTCAAACGACAAGCATTTTATACTCTAGACAATATCAGACTACTCATCAAAATTAGAATATCAGAGTACTACATGAGGCACCATCATGCTAATGAAGCCCAATAACAAAAGTACTGACTAATTCTTAGTCCTAATGCAAAGGGACCCCCAATGGCCTCCCTCTTTTGACTACCACAGACCAAAGGAACACCATATAGAGCTTTTTCTTCACACTTTGTGGCCATAAAGCTTATTGTTGACTTTCTTCCTTCATCGAAATAATATGTAAGAGGTTCTTGATATTTCAGATTTCATGACCTAAGGAATATTATGCAGCCTGCCAATTTTCAGATGCTCACTCCTTAATGGCAGTTATTATGTTAATCGAAGAAATTTTGGGAAACACCAAGACTCAGCCTATCTCGCTAGGAGAACTTACTACAATGAGACAAAATGCCAACAAATTGTTCTCTGATTTCGTCGATGTTTTAGAAACAACGCTTCACGGGTTACTGAGTGTTCTCTCTCTGATCCTGCGAAGATCAACATCATTCATGAAACCACTACCCCTATGTATAAACTATTTTTCAGCCGTGGTGGCGTGCCTGCTCTTTCAACTCTACACAAGCGAGGGACTCACTTTATGAAAGGGCAAAGGGGCATGCGGCTAGTTTTAGACATGTGGACAATCAAGTATTAGCCACACCCCCACAAAAATACAATAAAGGTGAAGCCTCACCCAAAATTGGAAAAAAAAAAAGGAAAAAAAAAGAAAAACGAAGCCCAATATTCACAAATGCCTCTAACTTCCAAACGAAAAATTGAAATAGACTAACCTTTCAAAACCAAATCGAACATCACTCAAATCGGTAACCTTTAGATGCAAAAAACCTTGTTTGAAACCATGTCAAGTCACAAAAAATATCAGTTTCAATACTTTTCAATTGTGCAAGAGATAAAAAAGTTTGCAACATTTTTATCTTCAAAATCATCCCAAAAAAGCCAACTTTGGACCTTCAAGGTTTAACGTAAGATTACGAGTAAAAAAAAAAATTTTATTGTGCTTCGAGGTCCAAAGTAAGGGCAATCTAAGAATAACTTTAAAAAAAAAAAACGAAGAAGAAGAACGAAATAAATTGGTATGAATGTAAAATCAATCTTTTTTTTTAAGGGGGGGTGGGGAGGGAGGGGTATAGCGTAAAAGAGCTGTTTCAGCAACCATAGCTCACTGATTCGAGCCAACTTCAATTTTGGTTTAGGGTTTGTGATATGTTTCAATATTGGGTTTTGGATTTTCTTTTTCCTTTTTTTTTATAATGGTTGGTTTTTTTTTTTTGTAAGTTCAGGTTTGGATCTATTGCCTTTTTTCAAGATTGGGTTTAGGTTTTGTCATTGTCCTAATTTATTGCCCCTTTTCAATTTTGTGATCACTTCTTGGTGACTTTTTCCAATATTTTGGCTTTTTTGTCTTGCGAGTGTCATCTAGTTTTGGTGTTGTAAATTTTTCTGTATAAGTTCTAAATGGAGTCATTTTGGATAGATATTGCAATAAGGTAAAGAACTAAAATCCATCCATGTAATCTTTCTATTTACTTTTTCATTACGGATTAGTGATTTGAGCACTTGATTTATAATACTATGCATACATCACATAACATTACTAGTTTGTTAAGTAGATTGATATACTTTTTCTTGTTTTCATTAATGTAGCTTTATGGTGGGCCACACATGGGGGAAAAGCCAAGCACTTGCAGAATATGGTAACTCTCATATTATGGTTGCGAACGCAACTTTAGCTTGTTTGAGTCAGTAATTTTTTAACTCATTGTCCTATTACTCCTAAGTCCTTTGTGTCTTCCTATGCCCTATTGGGGCAGCCCATATTTTTTTCTAAATCATGCCTTCATGGAAAAACAAACTCGAGCATAGGTGACTGAACAGATCTTATTTACATTCAATACAATCAAAGGTTGCAAAATTGCTATCAGGAGCGCTGCAACATCGACCTCATTACTCTGAGACATGGTTGATTTCAATGAGTGGTTGGTCGATGCTACAGATGATGAAGTGTTCCTTGGAGAGAGTTCGCGCTGGGGCCCAGTTCGTGAGGCCACAAGAAGCTCATTAAGCCCTGTGTAGGCCACTAGATCTCAATTTCAAGGAGGAACAAGCAGCCAATAGGGAAGGAGGAGGAGGAAGAGGAAACTGTCTGAGAGGAACAGAGAAAGAAGAGCTATATCTCAAAGAGGGGGATGACTCTAACGATGATCGCTTGGCATCATCAAATTCAGATGTAGTTGGTGGGGATGATGGAGATGGTGGTGGACCAGGTGGTGATGATGACAATGAAACTCAGTTCAGAATTGTTCTATAGTTTTGCTGTTTTAAGTTTTGTGGCTTTTGTGACCATGGCATGTAATGTTACTGTTAAATAGATAACACCCATGCAGCCCATGGAAGTTATCCCTCTATGCATATTCACAATTTTCTATGACCAATGTGATTGTTTTAACTTTCAATCTTCTAAACTTTCAGTCATTCAAGTTGCAAATATCACACACGTTTTCACAACATAACCATGCACACAAAACATGTTATCATTCATTGTTTGATAAATAAGTATAATTACAGTATCCAACCCAATTCACCCTACCCTTCCCCCCAAACAATGTTTTGGGGCACCTGAATCATGAGGTGCCTGCCTAGTTAAGCACCTTCCACAGTTTTCTAGCATTTATGTGAACACACCTAATCTTTTAATAAGAGATACCAAGCTATTACGAAGCCTTGACGAGCGCATTTGGGACCCCCAAAGAAAGAAATGGATCCTTGCACTGCAGCAACCTCAATTGATTCTTCCAACTGTATGATTCCACAACACCTCATTGCGGTTCTCGATACACAGTGAGATACTAGAATAGCTTCGTAGCATAGAGCCCATCATGAAAGTATGTGAGTCCTAATAGCACCACTGTCAGATCGCCCTTATGAGAAAATTATAGCTCCCAAAGAAAGAAACATTTCCTAAAAAAACACTAACCTCCCTTCATTTTATCCACATTGGATCCCACGATGTCTTGTTCGACTTCTGATACAAATGGTTGTCTCTAATAGTTCCTTAGAAAAGAGACCTGCATGCAGTTGAGCGGAATCCCACAACCCAAACTTGTTAAGTTACCAACATTGGTCCAAGTCCCCATTATTGAGCACTTCCACAAGATGATTGTCTAGAGAACATCCCAAAATACTTTAGCACAGAAAATGTTCCTTGCATTCATTGGAGATGCATTACAGTACAAAAACTCTCATGCCATTTGCAACTAACAACCAAATGACCCAGTCAACCCATATGCTGCTGGAGAACAATCCTCCACCAAACCTCTTGCAAACAACTCAATAGCCAAGTAAGCCTCCAACCAAATTGTGCTAAGAACAGAGACAACGGATCCCCATATTGCAACCATAAAAATTCCACAAAATATAGTCCATGTGTGTCACTCATAAAGAGGTTTTGGAGCAAACAAAAAATCACAAATCCACAATCTCCACCTCTATGGAGAAAGGGAAATGTTCTCCACCTCTTTTGGAACCTCTATACTTCTCATCGTGTAGCCCAAGAGAACCTAATCATAATGACCATGAGACTTCCCCATATCCACCTCACGACAACTCTAATTGCTGCTCAAAACCTAATCATAATGACTACCAGACTTCTCCATGTCCCCCTTACAACTTTAGGTCTTGCACCCATATATCTAAACTCTTAACATTTCATGGGCCCCCATTGTAACATGTAAGTAGTGGTTGTGTAGAATTCAATAGTAAAAATTCAAAAAAAATTCTTATACTTTTTTTTTTGCCTCTATATATTAATTGCTGGAAAGTGTACTTACAATTGCCACAATACAGTGCAAAAATAAAACCTCCTACAATCAAGGATCTCTAAATCTTACTGCCAAGTAAAAACCTAAGAATACACTCAACTTGCAATCGTTGAGAAAACAAATAAGTGCCAAAACAGCAAAATAAAATACATAACTAAGGGAAGACTTTCCTAGGGTTACCCCCTAAGGACTTGGCCCACCCCACACCCGATCACTTAACCAATGGTGCACTTGATTCCTAGATCTGATAGAATCTACCAATCTGACTGGGAAGCCCTGTGGAACGCCTGAAATTTATGGGGCTGAGAGCATAGGACATAATTAAGGTTTCTAATCCTTTTTAAACCTTGGGGCATGCCACAAAGCAGCACCTCCCCTAGCCTAAGTCTAGGGCTGAGCATGCCCCCCACTCTCTCTCCTATTGAGAGGTGTGCCACCCCAAATCCTTATGAAAGATGGCATGCCACCTTGGGGAGAAAGAGAGAGAGTTAAAGAGAGAATGAGAGAGAAGAGAGAGAGAGGGTAGCATGGAGAGGAGAGAGGATATGATGTAGAGAATGTTTTTGTTTCCCCCGGGGGTTGGGGGTTGGGGGTTGGGGGGGGGGGTGTTGTCCCCCTCTTATATAGGCTCAAGGGCCCTAGGGTGATCCAATCATACTAGGATTCAGCATTATCTAGAGGTTAGAGAGAAATAATCTATGAGGTGAGAGAAAAATAATCTAAGGCATCCATTTCTAAGATCAACCATGACAATTTAAAGAGGATATTAGGAATCTTATCCCCTGAGATTTGACCCATTCTCCACATCTAACTAAAATGGACTTTTGACCAGTCAAAAAATATCGCTAGATTTATTTCAAATTCCTTTTATCTCACTAAGGGATATTCGGGAACTTTAAATAAAACAAACTTTGGTCAAAATAATCTAGATCTCCTTTTATCTCACTAAGGGATATTTAGGAACTCTAAATAAAACAAACTTCAGTCAAAATAATCTAGATCTAATAATTATTTAACATAATAATTTTAAAGAAAATTATTTCAGGAAAATATATTCCAATTAATGGGATTAATTGGGTCGTCCCATTATGTGGAGACCATGTGGCCCAACGTCCCACCCTTGTTAGTCCAAGACGTACATGGGCTGGGCTCACAAAAAAAAAGAGTGGGTCCTACGCATATAAAAAAATTTCCTAAAACACCCCCCATGTTTGGAAAACATTATTTAAACAGTAACTGTCTCACAACTCATAAAATCATTTCGTGACTTATGAGATCAGTATTCCAACATTATCCGCACATCATATATTCCCAATGGACTTTTTGTCGACACATTCCTCATCTCAAACAAACTCTTTCAGTGCCATTTCAATTGTTTGTCTGGATATAGCCAGAAAAGTGGCAAAACTATTTATCTGCTTTCTGGCTATATGAATCGACCATGCGAAGCAGCAATAGAACATCTATAACACCACATGACGAGACTCCTCAAATTATTCAATGGGCTTATAAGTAAGGACCATTATAGAGTCAAGAAGCATTGTGAGAAAAGAAAAATAAAGAGCAATGCACATAGAATGGCTAATTAAACACCTTCCATAAAAGGGAATCTTAGCCTTAGTAGCATTCTGCTTCAATTGATCAAAGGCGCCAGCTCTAAATGTATCTGCGCAAACCAAAGCTGGTTTCCAACCCTTTTTCTGGTGATAGTAGGCATATTTTGTACAAGTGGTAGTTTTCCCTGAGCCTGCATATATTATCTCATATATTAAGAGATAAGAGAATAATTTTCTTGAAGAAGTCACATGATGTAACAATTAAACAAGAAGAGGACAGGAAAAAAAGCAATTCAAATTATACTTCAAAACAAAATAACTCAATCTTGTTCATGATAAAATGAGAGGTTGTGACAGATAATGGTCATAAAGGCATTTGCGTTTCGACTCAAGGGATGCCAAGATGAATCCAAGATAAATTCCACAAGATTAATAGTCAAAACATACCACATGAAATCCAAACGAAGTCCAAAACCATGTAAAAGAGCAATAGCAATGCCAACTTACCTTGCAAACCAACAAACATGACAACACTTGTTTTTCCTTTCTTTGGAGTATATGATGGCTTTCCAGGATCCAACATATTACACAGCTCATCAAAAATAGCCTGAAACACAACAATGTATGATGTCTACAAGAACAGAGATTAAATATCAAAAAAGGAGTCTTTAATCTCGACCAAAATGGACAACCATTAAGGGAATAAAAGTAGAAAGAGAAAAATATGGAAATAAGAGTCACCATCTTTATAATTATTGAGCAAGTATGCCTCATTCAAGTCAACAAGCTACTATTGAATACAAATATGTGTGTATCGCAAAAGGATTGGTGCACCCTAAAGCACCTCCACAACAGTGTACACCCTACATCATTTTTTAGCACCTTAGACACATATATTGGGGCCAACATTTTGCAAACAAACATTCTTTGATCTCACGAACAAGGTCTTGAAAAAGATTTCAAAGAAAAGGACTCAAGAAAATGGTTTTCTTCGAGGAGATAGAAAATGCAGTGAACAGAACGTTGTTAGAATGAAGCGTTGGGGGGCTTTGTTTGACCTCAAATTTTGTAACCTCCCTCAATATCACCAGGAGAACAAAAAAATTTAATTTGAATTCTCGAAGACCTAAATTTAAATGTCCCAATAATAGGCAGTCTGTATTCACTAGTGGGGCAAGTTTAGGCACTTCTAGGGTGCGTTTTTCGCCCCTTTTTTGGGCTGAGGTGCTAGAATGAGCAGGGCTTATCCCCAAATCTCAAAGCCCAAAGGGGTTAACTTGATTTGATTTTAAGCTAGGGCAGACACTATAAGGGTAGGGTCCACCCTTGGGCAGACCAAATCCGTTTCCCCACATACATAGATCTATAGATGGATAGGTAGATAGATGATATAATATATATATATATATATATATATATATATGAAAAAAGCTGGGATTAACCCACTAGCTCATATGAACATATGAACCCAACGGCCCAAATTGAATCTGGGCCAATCTGAAGATCGCGGATGTCCGGTAGTATTTGAATTTTAATTTTTTTTTCTACAAATCCAAATCACTTGAAATTTTAAGAGTGTGTTCATCAAAAATTGTTGAATCT